CTCTCACCATTTTTATTTAACATAGTGCTGGGCATCCTAGCCAAAGCAATTAGGTAAGAAAAAGAAATAAAAGGCATCCAAATTAGAAAGGAAGAATTAAAACTGTCACTACTTGCAGATAACATGATACTATATATAGAAAAACCAAAAGGCTCTGCAAAAAAACTATTAGGCCTAATAAGAGAATTCATGAAAGTAGCAGAATACAAAGTCAACATACAGAAATCTGTGATATTTCTATACACTGATAGCAAATTATCAGAAAGAAAAATTAAGAAAACAATCCTATTTACAATTGCATCAAAAAGAATAAAATGCATAGGAATAAATTTAACCAAGGAGGTGAAAGTCCCATACTTTGAAAATTATAAGACACCCATGAACAAAAATTGAGGATGAAACAAACAAATAGATATACCATGCTCATGGATCGGAAGAGTTAATATTGTTAAAATGTCCATACTACCCACAGCAATCTACAGATTCAGTGCACTCCCTATCAAAATTACAGAGGCTTTTTTTTTTCAGAAGTAGAATCCTAAAATTTGCATAGAATTACAAAAGATACCAAATAGCCAAAGCAATCTTGAGAAAGAAGCACAAAGCTGGAGATACCATATTCCCTTATTTCAAACTATACCACAAAGCTATAGGAATCAAAACAGTATGGAGTTGGCATAAAAACAGACAGACAGATAATGGAACAGAATTGAGGGCCCAGAAATAAACCCCCATATATATGGACAATTAACTTACAACAAAGGAGCTGAGAACATACAAGAGAGAAAGGACAGTATCTTCCATAAATGGTGTCAGGAAATATGGACAGCCACATGTAAAAGAATGAAACTAGACCACTATCTTACACCATACATAAAAATTAACTCAAAGTGGATTAAAGATGTGAATGTAAGACCTAAAACTATTCAATTCCTGGAAGGAAATAGGCAGTAAGGTCTTTAACATTGGTCTTAGCAATATTTTTATAGGTCTAATTCCAAAGACCAGGGAAACAAAAGCCATAAAAAAATGTTATTACATCAAGCTAAAACCTTGTGCATAGTGAAAGAAACCATCATCAAAACTAAAAGGCAACCTACTGAATGGGAGAAGATTTTTGCAAATCATGTCTCTGATAAGGGATTAACATATATATAAAGAACTCATACAACTCAACAACAGAAAACAAGCAACCTGATTAAGAAATGAGTAGAGGGATGCCTGGCTGGCTCAGTTGGTGGAGCTTGCAACTCTTGATCTTGGGGTTGTAAGTTCAAGCTCCACATTGGGTGTAGAGATTACTTAAAAAGAAAAATCTTTTAAAAAAATGGGCAGAGGATCTGAATAGACATTTTTCCAAAGAAGACATAGAGATGGCCAATGTGCACATGAAAAGATGTTCAACATCATTAATTATTAGAGAAATACAAATCCAAACCACAGTGAGATATCATCTCCCACTGGTTAGAATGTCTATTATCAAAAAAAAAAAAAAAAGAACGGCTATTATCAAAAATACAATAACAAAATAACAAGTGTTGGAGCAGACATGGAGAAAAGAGAAGCTTCAAACATTGTTTGTACGAATGTAAATTGGTACAGCCACTTAGAAAAAAAAAAGAATATTACTCAGAATAGAACCGCCATATGATCTATTCCACTTCTGGGTATTTGTCCAATGAATACAAAAACACTGATTTAAAAAAATTAAACATCCCTATGTTCATTGCAGCATTATTCACAAAAATCAAGAAATGGAAACAACCTAAATGTTCAGTGATGGAATGGGTAAAGAAGATGTATTGTGTGTGTGTATATATAATACATATATATATATATACACACACACACACAATGGAGTACTACTCAGCCATAAAAAGAATGAAATCTTGCCATTTGTGATAACATGAATGGACCTTGAAGATATTATGTGAAGTGAAGTCAGTCAGATGGAGAAAGACAAATACCATGTGATATCACTCATGTGGAATCTAAAAACATAAAACAATGAACAAACAAAACAAAAGCAAACTCATAGATGCAGAAAATAGATTGGTAGTTACCAGAGGGGAACAGGGGTGGGGAGCAGGCAAAATGAGTAGAGGGGGTCAATTGTATGATGATGGATGGAACTCGACTTTTGGTGGTGATTGCTTTGTACTGCATACAAATGAATTATAGTGTTACACACCTGAAACTTATATAATCTTATAAACTAGTTTTTCTTCAGTTAAAAAAAAAACCTGAATAGATTATTGTTTTAAATTCCCGGTTGTTCCATTTATCTGAGAATCTACTGCTAAAGCATCAATACTTTAAAACTCATTCTAAAACTCTTTGATGAAAAGTCTTGTAAAATAGATTGGACAGTTTAGTATGTACTTTCTGAAGTTGGATGCAGTGTGCTGAATATTATTTACCTTTTCCTGTGTGACTCAGGACCATAGGATCAACCTTATTTATTGTAGTATTGGGATACAGTAATGTCATCATAGGGAGAGAAGCCATTTGCCCCTCTAGTAAATAATGTCTTTGTGCCTGCGTTTCAGTTTTCTTCCTCCTCTCCTGCTGTAATTTTCTGTATTCTCAGTGTGTCTGCTGACAGCAACTTTTGACTTCTTTCTATTTTGGGGGTTTAATCTACTGATGAAACCCAACCAACCAACTTTCTAGAAACTTTCAAGGGATGATCTATGGAATTCTCCAATGAGTGTCCAGGAATACTAGTGTGTGGACTTTGTCACATCAGCACTGCCTCTTAGAGACTTGTTTTCCTTACTTCTTGGTTTGGGACAGGGTTCCAGATGGGTGAAATGTTACAGTGCAAAGGCTTTCTGTGGAATGGAGAGAAAGGCTAAGCTAATTATATTATTCATAGTCTTTCAGTTTTGTTACTCCTTTGCAAAAAAAAAATGGATCTTTCACTTTATTATTTTTTGGGGGGGATCTTTCACTTTAATAAAAAAAAATCACAATTCTTAACCTAGGCAATATTTTTTCTGTTGTAAACTTAAATCATACCTCTACTATAATAATAAACAGCAAGCATATAGATGATTCACTTCCTTTTAAAAGGCGTTACAAGGAAGACAATGAATGATTAATATGAACAATCTGTCATGCCTCCAAAATAGATATTATGCAAATAGCAAGGAAGGTTTAGTCACCTCCATCACTTCTTTTCTTTTCAAAACAATACAGATACACAGAAATTTTCTTATTTGTATTCTGTGACTCAACCATCCTCTGTATCATAACACTGTCTAAACCTCAGCACTCTTAGTCTTAAATTTTAATGACAGCACTTTTTCACTTTTTGTTATACAATAATGGATGGTGAGGATTCGTCATGTGTTATCAAGAGTAGCACTAAAACATAGTCTGCAACTCCCAGTGGAGTAGACTCACTCTTTAAAAGTAATACATGGTAGATATTTCATTCAACTATAATTAAATCTTGATCATTATTCCAGTTTATAGCCAAATATGAAAATAGCCTTTTGTTTTTTTAAAACTAATTTCAAAAATCTCTAGAACTAGTCTTCTTTAAGTGTTCCATGTGTTAAAAATCACTTCTTGGAGTGTGTAGTTGAAGCCATCAGTAAGACACAAATTAAATCGACTGCCTGGCTTAACAACCAAGATTTTCATGTTGCCACACATTATTTGGGCACTCTTTTTCTCTTGGCTTTCCCCTGGGAGGAGTTTTACAATTTTCCCCCCGACAGCTATTACACAGTAGGCCAGGATACTGGCTTCTTAAAACACAATTTAGAGAGAAAACCTTCAATCTTTTGGCAGTGTCTATCGGAAGATTTTTTGTAATGCCTTGTAAAAAACAAAGCTTTTTCTTTCTGGGATTAAATTTATTTTTCCAAACAGATGAAAATAAACTGAGTTTAGGCTGGAAATTGAATGAGTATCAATTTGAGAAGTACATTTTACCTTTCAAAGTGGATTTAGGCATAGATGTGAATATTTTATAAGCTGTACAAACTCTGAATCGCTAAATTAGATGCAGGTGCAATTTGTTATAACTCTCAAAAATATAAGAACTCAAAACATTAGCTGAATTGTTTTCTTTTAAAATCTAAAAACCAATCTTCTTGAAACATCTGGATCTCTTGAAATTAATTTCCATTTAAATTTCAATACAGTTTGATAACAGTCATATTTAGGTTGCTGTCATTCTAGTCTAGAGGAGCACCTTTAGATTGATTATGGTTGCTTGATCCACAGAACAAAATCTTGGCCTCAAGTTTCCATGTATTTCTCCATTTTGTTTTTGTTTTTTAAGATTTTGTTTCATGAGAGACACACACACACACAGAGAGAGAGAGAGAGAGAGAGAGAGAGAGACATACCCAGAGAAGCCGGCTCCCTGCTGAGCCTGATGTGGTACTCTATCCCAGGACCCTGGGATCATGACCTGAGCCAAGGCAGACGCTTAACCACTGAGCCACCCAGGTGTCCCTATTTCTCCATTTTTAAATGATTTACAAACTTTAAGCATGTGAATATTGGCAGTTTTTACTACCTGTACTTTCGGCCCTTCTATTTCCCATTGGTTTCTTTATCTCTTATATATCCTTTCCTGATAAGAAAGTTGGATATGGTTGTATTGGAGCAAAAGTCATCAATTCAGTCCATTCAACTTCCTTTTTGCCCCAGGCTGTCCTATCCCCCTTCTTATGACCAACCCACTCCTTTAACTGTACCTTCAGTCACATCAACCATTTTTTATTCAGTCCTAGACAAAGAATACTGTCCATGGTGTTGGCTCTACCTGAAAAACGTGGCACATTCATCTAATTCCATGTTGCAGTATTAAAGTTGAATTATGGAGCAGGATTGTCCATTCAGTGAGCAGCTGGAGCTTTTTCCTTGCACAAGCTCAAGACCTTACTTTTATGGCTACAGTAATGGATCCCAAAGTAAGGAATTCTTACTTCATTGATGTCTATCAAGAAATAATCAATGCCTTGTTTTGGATCTTCTAGGAACTAAAGAGGTTGTTGTAAATGTGGACGATGATGGAATAATTTCATTGAACTTTGAATGTGATCAGATGACTCCAAATTCTCAGTTCAACTGGTCCAAGGATTATGTACCCACTGAGGACTCTCCACGATTAGACATTGAAAGCAAAGGCAACAAGTATGTACTGTTTCATTCATAATAATGGGTTTCCTTTTCATGATAGGAAAGTAAAGTAAGCTCTTTGCTTTCTTTTTTTTAAATATTTTATTAATTTATTTCAGAGAGAGAGAGCAAGCAAGTGGGGTAGGGGCAGAGGGAGAAGGAAAGGGAGAATGTCAAGCAGAGTCCTCACTGAGCATGGAGTCTAACGCTGGGCTCGATCTCAAGATCCAGAGATTCATGACCTGAGCCAAAACCAAGAGTCAGATGCTTAACTGACTGAGCCACCCAAGCACCCTAGCATTTTGCTTTCTATTTCGAATACTTGATATAAGGGGATGAAATCACAAATATTTTATATATAGTCATGTAAAAAGTAATAACCAATGTCAGCCTTAAAAATAACAATCCTTATAAAGTACTTCTCATGTTATTTCAGTTTTAAAAACTTTCTCATATATTATCTCATTCATGATGTTAGAAAAGCTTTGATTGATGTAAAAGCTTTAATGATGGTTCTGATTATTTTATGAAATTTTCTCATCTTAAAGTAATGGTACAGATGCTTATGGGGAGAGAGCAAGGAAGAACTTGATATTTGCTGGTTCAAGTTATGGTGAATTAAATGGATTAAGTCTAATCTCTTCTGCTTCTTTCACCACCACTTATGAGTGACATGATAACACACTGGGAAGAACTCTGCATGGGAAGCACAAAATGGATGAGTTCTAGTCCCAGCCCTACCAGAGGCCAGCTGTGTGACCTGGGGCAGCTTTTAACTTCCATGGGCCTCCGATTTCTTTTTCTGTAAAATGAGAGAGAGTGAAGGAGATTAATTTTGTGATCAGTTACTCCCTTTCACATCCAAGATTCTATTTTCTTTTTACTTTGCTTTGCTTAGCAAGCTTTATATTTTTATAGTGCCAACCATATTGGATTGCATTTGGTAAAGCAAAATGCTTTTAAGTATTATTTTTATTACAAAGAAGCCCAAAATATCTCAGAAATAAAGAAATCGTAATTTTGTTGGAGAATGGCAAGAACATGCTGAATATAACTAAAAGACATTTTTTCTGTCTATGTGCTATAAAGTCCTTGAAGTGAAACATAAATTTAGTCAAAGAAAAGACCATCAAACTATAAATTTTTCTTCTAATTTGTGCTCTTGACTAATGTTTATATGTTTGGCTGATCTTAGACACATTGACTAGCAACATCACTCACAAAAGCTAGAAAACACAGTGAACTAAGCCATTGACCCATTCACATATTCATTCCATAAATATTTAATAAGCACACATGCTGGAAGACACAGAAGTACATAAACCAGATCTTGTCCCTAATGGCTCAATGACTATATGGTAGAGGCATATAGATAATCAAATAGGTGATACCAACACAGTATGATAAGCTCAAAAAGAGAAGTGTAGAGGATAATATAAGAGAGGCACTTTTGGGATCCCTGGGTGGCGCAGTGGTTTAGTGCCGGTCTTTGGCCCAGGGCGCGTTCCTGGAGACCCGGGATCGAATCCCACATCAGGCTCCCGGTGCATGGAGCCTGCTTCTCCCTCTGCCTGTGTCTCTGCCTCTCTCTCTCTCTCTGTGACTGTCATAAATAAAAAAAAAAAAAAAAAAAAAAAAAAAAAATTAAAAAAAAAAAAAAAAGAGAGAGGCACTTTGTTGTTCAAAAAAGGTTCTGCCCTGTGGGAAAATATTTTTTAGGCTCCCCAGCAAGGGCAAATCAACTAAAAATACCTCTGTTGGGGATGGGTATTGATATGCAAAATAACTTGAACATGAGATATTTGTACCAGCTCCCCACTCTGCTCACTAGGAGGAGGTCAAGAAAGTCTCCCTAGAAACAGCTTGAATGGGCAGGTTTCAGGTCAGTAGGAAATGGGAGCAAGTGCTGCCAGCCAAAGGAGTAGTCTGTGCAGAAGCCTAGAGAAGCCCAGGAGGCCAGCCCACAGATGCCACACAGTCTCCCTTCTAATAAGAGTATTCTGTTCCACAGGACAAAAATGACCTTCAAGGACCTGGGGATGGAAGACCTGGGCATTTACTCCTGTGATGTGACAGACACTGATGGAATAGGGTCCAGTTACTTGATCGATGAGGAAGGTAAGTTTTCAATCCTTTCAAAGGCTAACACTGCTTTGATTCAGCAGTGATCCTCTAGGGTCAAGTGACTTTTGTTTTAGTAGTTCAGCTTTCATTTTTCTTTTTTTCTCCCTACAGAGCTGAAACGTTTACTGGCTCTCAGCCAAGAACACAAGTTCCCAAGTAAGTGTCCACAGTGCATCCACAGAGTTTAGCGGTCCAACTGGGTGGTGGCTCCTGGAATAGGTCAGATGATAACTCTGACAAGATTAAGAGAAGAGGCTCTTAAGAACACATAATGGTAGCTACAAGTACACTTTCCAGAAGTACTGCTTTTATCTTGGCCATTGTTCTAAAGAGATACAAATACTAACATAGAAAATACATTCCATGCTGTTACACAGTGAAGTGTCAGGTTACACAGGTGTAACAGCTGAGTAAATTCTTCACTTTTCTCCTAATATGGGATTAGGATTTTGGAATCCCATATATTATATGATTCTGGATAATTCACATATTTTTTAGGCAAAACCATCTCTTCCTAAGCGATTTCATGTTAGCACTTAATAGAAGAATCAATCTCTAAGTAAAGGTAATCTAAAGACTCTACCATTTTAAACTCCTGGAAAATAAGGTAAAGATGCCTTAGTCAGAAAAAGAATCTCTCTGAACTGTCTATGAACTTCAATTAAGCACTTTCCACATAAAAGATTAAATTTCACTGTTGACACCTAAAAGAAGAGAAAGAAGTCTGAAATGATACTCGGAAAATTCCACTGACCTGATAAGTTCTCTTGCCATGGTTATCTATTGGCCAAAGTGATTATCTAGAAAGTTATACCTGGAGTTTGAGAACAAGTGGAGAGTAATAACACATACTCACTCTTTTAAGTTAGGAATTTTTTATTTTATTTTTTTAGTCTTTAGTCTCTAGAATGCAACTTCTTCACCAATACAGACTTTTCAGGAATTCAAGAAACTATACCGTGACTCCACACTAGAGACAAAACCTTGTATGTTTGTATATGTGCATCTTTCTAGGAGGAAGGTCTATAGGTTTCCTGAAATTCCCAGTAAAGGCTGTGATTACAAAACACACACTGCTCCAGAATTGCCTGACTTCTTTGCCATTCCCCAAATGCTTGTTCCATCCTGAGGCTGAGTGTTGGTGACTATTGACCTCACTTGTTATATTCTCAAAACTGAGTTGGCTCAACAAAGCAGCACAGTGAGGTGCCCATTGCGTGTGGTTGCAGGATACAGACTTCCTGAATTCTGGGAGAGAACCATTTCTCCCCTGTATGCTTATTCACCATAAAACTGGAAAAGTATGGGATGCCTGGGTGGCTCAGTGGTTGAGCATCTGCCTTTGGCTCAGGGTATGATACCAGAGTCTCTGGATCAAGTCTTACTTGATCTGCCTCCCTGTGCCTGTGTCTTTGCTTTTTCTCTCTCTGTCTCTCATGAATAAATAAATAAAATCTTTTTAAAAAAGTTTTTAAAAAACTGTAAAAGTAATACTATGAATGGTGTTTTAAAGGTTATTATTGTTTTTTAATTGTATGGAAGGTAGAAGTTTGGCCTGTATTGTCTTTGTTCTGTACTTTTGACCCACTCTATGAACTTGAGCAACTCAATTTTAATTTCCTCATGTATTAGTTTCTTTTCTGGAAATGGCTGTTGTAATAATTTATAGCACCTACTGTATAGAGATGCTGTGAGAGATCCTTGAAATTTTCAGGAAAAATATGAATATTGATTGAAAGCAACAGTGACCCTCAAAAAACCCATTTGTAAAGATCTGTCTGCAAGCTGTATGGGATGCTCTCCCTTCATGTCTCCAGGGCTGTGAAGTAGGGAGTGGAGGAGAGGCTCACTGTGCTGCACACAGCCAGACCCCATTAGGGATCACACCATCTCCTCTCAAAATTGGTGGAAATGGAGAGAAACAGCAGCAACCACTAATCTAGTTAGTCAGACAGTAAACATTGGCAAAGTGTCTCTAGGCAACAGCTGGTCCAAACAACATTTACATTTAGCTTAAAGGACAGAAATGAGACAACATGGGGTGTTACTGTTGAATTGGAGGTGCCCAAACTTTCCTGACGTTCAATGATCATACAGGCTTGAAGACAGTAATTGCCCAATGTCACTGTCATGTATGCTGAGACATTTATTTTGCATAAGGATGATCACCCTAATTACTGGTTCTGGGAGGGAGAGTAGCAGCAAACTCAAGTTCCCTTTTTATTAGAGACCTTGTGTGGCATTTGGGTAGGCAAAAAGAGAGAACTCAAGAATGTGTTAAAAACTCTGACATGCAAGTATCAGTTCTCTTAACCCAAGGGAGATTTGCTTAGCCCATTGAAGCAGCATTTTACTTTATTTTATTTTTCGTAAAGGTTTTATTTATTTGACATAGAGAGGGCGAGCACAAGCAGGGGGAACAGCTGGCAAAGGGGGGAGAAGCAGGCTCCCCACAGGGCTTCTTCCTGTGGAGAAGGAGGCCCCATGCAGGGCTCAATCCCAGGACCCTGGGATCATGACCTGAGCTGAAGGCTGATGCTTAATTGACTGAGCCACCCAGGCTCCCTGCAGCACCATTTTAAATAATATAGCTCCCACACACTTTTCTTCTCCCCACCGCTATTAGATCAGCCTGATGGCTACATAAATATTTTCAGAGATTTGATGATAGGATCAAAATAGCATGTCTAACTTCACAATTTATACCCACTTCCTCTCCATAGATGTTGACACATCATTAAGTCTTTTCTTGAGATTTTATAAGATTTTAAATGGATCTTGTTTTTTACAGAATGTAATAAAGAGTGTGGTGCTCCTTTATCCCTTGGCACAGTAAATTCTCCTATTTTAAGCTATTTTCAAAAATATTTTGAAAACCACTAAACATATGCCTTAAACCTACAAAAAAAAATGTTTTGCTGGAGCAAATTAACTACCAGAGAAAAGAGTATAAGAAAATTTAAGACTGAGAAGAAGGAAAAAATGAAATCTATAAAGCTAAAAACAGAAAAGAGCCTAGTTGGTCTTGCCAGTATTGATATTAAGCTGCAGTGTGGAGAGGCAACTTACTTGAAGATTTTTCAAGGTATTGTTAAGGAGATGGTGGAAGGTATACTTTGGTATTGTCAACATCCTGCACAATATCGCTTGGCTATTATCCCATGTGTCCACAAATATTTTATGTGTGCAGATATACAGAAGCACATATACATAAACAGTATCTACTTGGTATCTCCTCTTAGGTATCAATATATTATATTTTACACTTGGTAGTTGTAGGGTGTTTTTGAAGCAACTGGAGGAGGAAAGATCTACCAAAATATTAATAGCCAGATTTATAGAGAGCACTTATTATATGCCAGAGTATTTATAGGATACTGAAATGGAGTATATATATTATTTTAAGTCCACAGTGACCTTAAAAAGCTTGGTTCTAAGGTGATTTAATTTTAGAGGTATAGACTCTGAGACCTGGAGAGGTTAGGCAACTTAGACCAGATGTACACAGTAGATACCTGCGGTCTGACCCTAACCAGGACATAAACTGTTACTGTGTGTGCACCTGCTGTTTGCCACCACGCTCTCTCTGGTGATTCCTGGTGGCCAGTGTTTAAGGTGATGTTCTTCTTACTCAGAGAGGACAGTGAAGACTAAGGGAGCTTGAAATGTCCAGGAGGGCATACCCCTTCTCTTACACCACCACTCTAGGCCCCTTAGGCAACTGTATCACTCATGTATTAGATTTCCCAGAATGAGATCTCTAGACTTTTTTAGGAAAGATTTTACTCTCCTTCCCTCCAAGAGTTTGTAGCAAGCAGGAGTTCTCCTATAGGGAGAAAGGTTAGCTTCTGCTCTCACAACCCTGGAGTCAATCCATGATGCTTTACTCAAACATAACTCAACTGGCAAATCAGTACTGTTCTTCAGAGTGGACAGCCAGAGCCAAGGGGAGCACAGAATAGAGGGAATAACCTTGGTGTCAGCTCTGCTACCCAGATATGTTACTAACCTTTCCTGAGCCTCAGTATTGTCATCAGTAAAATGAGGAAAGAGGAAAACTCACCTTTATTTTCTTTTCAAAAGATTTAATTAATTAATTAATCAACCAATCAATCAATTAATTAATTAATTTGAGACACAGAGAGAGAGACAGAGACATAGGCAGGGGGAGAAGCAGGCTCCCTCTTACCAAAAATCTGAATTCAGCAGTGTATTTTGATATATAAGTACAGTTTAACTTGAATAGGAGTTCATTTGATATGTTTAACATTAGATCTCCTAAAAAGCTTTGTGCCATATTATATCTTGAGATTTTTAAGGGAAGAAAATAAGTCTTGAAGAGATAAAAATTGCATAGGACAGAGAAGATAATTGTTCAAAATTGACAACTGGGCAACATGTTTAGCATCTCTTATTTCTAAATAACTAAAGGCTTAGATAGCTTTTGCTCTGATTATGTGAAGACTAGGAATCTCAGGTATTCAAACACCGGGCCCTTACTTTAATAGAGTGCAGTTTAGGTAATTTTTAAAAATATAGCATGACACACTCTTTGCTCTTCCCTAATAATGTCACTACATCTCTTTAAAATCCTACTGCTGCTAATTATCCACTAACCTCTATAGATCCTCTATTTAACATCTTAACTCAGTGTTAACCACTGGAAGATAATTTTTTCCTTTTTTAAGTGGGTTTTCTTGCAGGTTGAAATCTTAATGAAAGATCATATCCTATTCTCTGCTAGTAATCATCTATTAAGTATAAACTTGAAAAGGACCTCTATTAGCAAATTTTCCTTAAATTCCAGAGAGCAAGTCATTGGGCAGCTGATCATGAAGTGCAATGAGAATTTCAGGGAGCCTGATGTGGGACTTGATCCCAGGACCCCAGGATCACGACCCGAGCCAAAGGGAGACACTCAACCACTGAGCCACCCAGGCATCCCAGAACTCACCTTTCTTGAGCACTGGTCATTATTCACATTGTCTTAATGTCTTTTGTTACTGTATTCACTCTTCTTGGTGGTCTTATGAGGCAGATAATATCCATGTTAGCAAGTGAGCAATGTGAAGTTTTAAAAGGAGAGAACTGTCCAAGGTCATGGTGCCTATCTTCTATGCATCATGGACACCCCTCAGTAGATGACATCTGAGCCTCTTTGAGTTCCACAGTGGAACAAGCCTGTAACTGAGTTTCACAATGACCGTGGAATAGTGCATATGAAAGACATCCCTTAATGCTTGGAAAGGATAGTTTGAGGATAAACACAAAGAAATATTGATGTATATTTGATACAAGTTTGGGAAGCTTACAATTTAAAATGTGGCATCTCTTGAAATTTTGAGATTAGTTTAAGAACTGTTTAGAGAAAATGAAGGGTCATGATTTCTCCCAAAGGAAATGAAGGGCTACTAAACTTGGAGAGACAGCCATGCTTTTCAATAAACTTTGCCCTGGAGGGCAAAACCATTGGCTGGAGGAGGCTTTAATTTTTTTTTAAAGACTTTACTTATTTATTCATGAGAGACAGAGAGAGAGAGAGAGAGAGAGAGAGGCAGAGACACAAGCAGAGATACAGGCAGAGGGAGAAGCAGGCTCCATGCAGGGAGCCTGATGTGGGATTCGATTCCGAGACTCCAGGATTATGCCCCACACTGAAGGCAGGTGCTAAACCACTGAGCCACCCAGGGATCCCCTGGGGAAGGCTTTATAGAGAACATTTTCAAGTTACAAGAAATTTAGAAAACTGTATTTGAGAGATACCAGCCAAGTTTTAAAATTACACCCATATTCAAATGGCTTAAGCGATACAAGTATAAATCAGAGATACCATATGATTCCTTTACTTTCTTTGTGAGGCAAGCCATGCTGTATCTTAATATACCTTCTTTTTTTAAAAAAATTTCATTTATTTATTCATGAGAGACACAGAGAGAGAAAGAGGGAGAGACACAGCAGAGGGAGAAGCAGGCTGCATGCAGGGTGCCTGACGTAGGACTCAATTCCAGGTCTCCAGGACCACGACCTGGGACGAAGGCAGTGCTAAACCACTGAGCCACCTGGGCTGCCCTTAATATACCTTTTTTTTTTTTTAATTCATGATAGACATAGAGAGAGAGAGAGAGAGAGAGAGAGAGAGAGGCAGAGACACAGACAGAGGGAGAAGCAGGCTCCCTGCTGGGAGCCTGACTCGGGATTTGATCCCGGGACTCCAGGATCATGCCCTGGGCCAAAGGCAGGCGCTAAACCACTGAGCCACTCAGGGATCCCCAATATACCTTCTTAATAGTGACTCATGTATTAGCTTCTGAAAAATGTTGCCTAGTCTAAGAATTTAAACAAACTGATAAAACAGTGGGATGGATGGAGTTTAAATGATACACTGGTTCATCTTGTATGTATATGTCATCAACATTTTTTTTAAGATTTTATTTATTTATTCATAAGAGGCACAGAGAGAGAGAGGCAGAGACACAGGCAGAGGGAGAAGCAGGCTCCACGCCGGGAGCCAGAAGTGGGACTCAATCCTGGGTCTCCAGGAACACACCTGGGCTGAAGGCGGCTCTAAACTGCTGAGCCACCGGGGCTGCCGGTCATCAACATTTTTTAAAAGATTTATTAATTTATTCATGGGAGACACAAAGAGAGAAAGCCAGAGACACAGGCAGAGGGAGAAGCAGGCTCCTCGCAGGGAGCCCAATGTGGGACTCGATCCTGGATCCCGGGATCAGGCCCTGAGCCAAAGGCAGATGCTCAACCGCTGAGCCACCCAGGCGTCCCCTTTTTAAATTTTTTTTAAAGTGTCATCAACATTAATTCTGTTTTAAAATTCATTTTTAAAGACATTTGAAAGAACCTCCAAAATGAGTTAAATTGTTGAAAAAAAATAAAACTTAACTCCTTTCCCTATATTTATATAATGTTGGAGCTGAAAAATATCTTGTCCATTTTGGACATTCAGTTCAATCTCATTCATTTTTTAAAAGATTGTATTTATTTGAGAGAGAAAGAAAAAGTGCACAAGCAGGGGGGAGAGGCAGAAAGAAAGGGAGAAGCAGCCTTCTGCTGAGCAGGGAGCCCAACATGGGGCTTCATCCCAAGCCCCCAAGATCATGACTTGAGTCAAAGGCAGATGCTTAATTGACTGAGCCACCCAGGTGCCCAACCCCATTCATTTATAAACAATTCAACTGGGACCCAGATATGTGAAGTGACCTGCCTAATATCACACAGTTTGCCCATTGCTGATGTTAGACTAGGCTCTAGCTCTCCTGGAACCAGCTCAAGACCATTTCATCACACTTTGTTATTGCATAGTCACAGTAGGGAGTCACATAGGTTAGCAGAAGGAACCCTGGAGGTAAGTTTATCTTCCTCATTTTTACAGTTAAGACATCTATGACTCAATGAAAGTGAATGACTTGTCCAAAGTGACAGCAGGATTAGAACCCACATCTTCCATCCCTTTCTTTCCCTACAATGTTCTTACTCCCTCCAGGCTTTGCAAGAAGCAGGTGCTATATTGTTGTTTCCATGGAGTGTTTTTTCATTGAAAAATCTGTATTAATACAATTAGTTACCTATAAAATTACTATTTTTGTTTTTATTTTGTATAGCTGTCCCAGTTAAATCAGAGTTGGCAGTTGAAATTTTGGAGAAAGGCCAGGTCCGGTTTTGGATGCAGGCTGAGAAGCTGTCTGCCAACACCAAAGTCACCTACATATTTAATGACAAGGAAATTTTTGAAGGGCCGGTACGTTTTACACTTTTTAGATTCTAAACATATCACTGTAGAATGTGCTGATGGAGTCCTATTAAAATGCAGGTAAATAGTTTTGAAAACAACTGGGTGTGGGGTGGGAGAGTTTAAGTCATTTCACGTGTAAAAAAATAATAAAGGAAAATATAGATTGATCATATCATATTATTCAAACTGAGACACTTTTGAGAATGAGAGAGGATTCTAGTAATAATTTTTCCAGGAAGAAAAATGGTGAAGAATCAAACCAATACTGTCCCAGGCAAGTCAAGAAGTATGATTACCCATGAAAATAGAGCTGCTCTCCTGAGAAGCCAAGGAGCAGCATGCTTACCTGAACTCACATACTCACATCAGAAACCTCAGCAGGAACTTGGTTCTTCATGGGGAGGAAATGGCCTCCATTGTTCCAATGGCTTAGGAAAAAAATCGCAGCAAAAATATCTTTCACTGCTTCTCTGGTGAAAAATGCAATACATTTTTATTGTAAAATAAGAATTGTAAAGACTCAGAAGGGACAAATCACAAATTCTTACAACTTTTTAATATATATGTTGGTTTATACTTTCTGGTCTTTTTCTACACTTGTGTGTGTGTGTGTGTGTCTCTATTGATGTCTTATTTACAAAGGTGATTGTGTGTATCTACTCTTTTCTTTGCTTTAAACATAAACATAGCTTCCATAGACAAGAGTTAGAACATCTGCACTTTATTTGTCCTCCCTAGATATCAGTAAAGCCAGCATCAGGCCAGTACCTGGTGGTACAGAAGAACCCGGACTTAGGAGCTCTGGCTCTTACCTGTGCTCTCATGGGTATAAAGGAGAGACTCAAAAGAAGAGATGTGTGATTTGTGGCCATTATTAACAGTCTCTTCTCCTTTCATCGAGATATGTTTTTAAAACATTTCAGGATTCATTTGTGAGAGGGAGAATGAATAACATAAATAGCAAAAGAATATGTAATATATTTCTTTTCAGCTCACATAGCAACTGTGTATAGAACCTGAATAAGTCACACAGAGTCCATGATGGCCCATCTTCTCCCTGTTTTCATAATATTATTTTTTATGGCTGTGCTCATCTCCTGGCCAATGCAGGAGAAGGAAAAACATCATTGGCATCACTGTTGCCACAGCCATTTAGGGACCACTCATGCACACATATGCACAGACGCACTCCCCTTCATGTGTTCAAATACACTTTTATGTTTTGCCCACATGCACACATACATATACATACTCTGAACCTCAAGAGCTGTTTATTGTCATTGGCAGTTCTTACACTATTTCGTTGGGTGAAAATTAGTGTTTTAGACTAGGTTCCCTAGAAGGATAGTCTGATATAGAATTTCTCTTTCATTTGATTTTTGGGGGAGAACTCTCAGGAGTGGGGATTAGGGAAACAAGCTAAAGTAAAGCTAAAGCTAAAGCTAAAGCTAAAGCGAAAGCGAAAGGAAAGGAAAGGTAAGGAAAGGAAAGGAAAGGAAAGGAAAGGAAAGGAAAGGAAAGGAAAGGAAAGGAAAGCAAAAATGTGATCTCAGTTGGAGACTGGAGCTCTGGGGCATGAGCTGGAACACAGAGTTGATCCCAGACCTGAGCCTTCATTCTGTGACATTTTATAGGAAAGCTTGATTAATTTAAATCCATGATAGAACCTGTGCGTATATGCCCAGGAGCTAAGATTTATGTTACACTGAAAAATAGTTGCCTAAGCAACGTGATAAAATAAGTATAGTCCAGTAGAGCAATTTCAGTTGATTAGGAACAAATGGATTTCAAATGCTTTGGAAGCATTCTTATTCACATATTAATTCAGCAGATATTTATTAATTGCCTGCTATAGACCATGCATGCACAAGATGTGAGGGTTATAGCAATGAATGAGACAAAAACACGTCCCTCTTGCTGCCTGTTGTTTTGCATTATTCTGCTAATTAAAATGAATGTAATCTGGAAGGTAAAATGGGAATCTAAAAACACCTTTTGACAACATTTGTGACTTGGGATAACAAAACTTTATTTGTATTTTAAAAATTAAATGTCAAACTTTATAGTAATCAGTTCTGGTCAAGGTCCTATATGCTACATAATATTTTCCTTTCCCCAGAAATAAGATTTTGGAAACTCATCTAAAAAAATGTTAGCTTGTGAAAATTATGATTCTTTGGGGTTTGCGTTATTCCATCAGGCATTGTCATGATATCTACCTCACTGACTTCTGTTTTCCTTTCCACATTGAAGAAATATAAGATGCATATTGACCGGAACACTGGTATAATTGAAATGTTCATGGAAAAGCTACAGGATGAGGATGAGGGAACATATACTTTCCAGCTTCAAGATGGAAAAGCAACTGGCCATTCTACTCTTGTTCTCATTGGAGATGGTAAGCAGCCTGTGGGATATGAGCTGAAAGATTTCACTGCTCCCTTCAATGCAAATATGCTATGGCACGAAAGTGGTCACATGGTCACATAGAAGGCAGTAGGAATTGTTTCTTGTATTTCAAGCATTGGAATCTAGTTTTCAGTTAACACTTCCATAGTATTTCACCAGATTTATCTTTAGCCCATATGGAAGACTGTAATTAAATTATCTCATGTGTAAACAAGTACTTATTACTAAAATTCCCAGTGAAGGAGATTACAATACAGCTAAGACTGTATCTGTATCTCAGAAACAATGATATTACCCTATACTGTGTGCTAACTTTAAACTACTTAAATTAAGAGGAAAAATATGCAAAAGTGGTGCACAATAGATAAATGCATCATATCTTGTAACTGGATTATATGCCAGCTGCCATAAGCCACTGTAGGAACCACCAAGATTTAAAATGTGGCATTTAACAAATGTGGCATTTGGAAAAGCAGTCCAAATCTCTACATTTGCAACTTCCAACACTACCTACTACTTCCTAGCTTCATGACCTTGAACAATTTATTTAACCTTTCTCAGCCTATTTCTTCATCATAAAAACTTAAATAGGTTATTGTGATGTGTGAATATGTTATAATAATGAATATAAATCACTTAGCACAGTGGCTGGCATATACATTTATTCCCCTCAATTCAATTTCTATTTTAGTTTATAAAAAGCTCCAAAAAGAAGCTGAATTCCAGCGGCAAGAATGGATCAGGAAACAAGGTAAAAATGGGCAGTGAGTGAAGAGAAAAACTTCAATTTCTTGAAAAAAAAATTTCAATATTATTTCCATAACAAATTTAAAAGTATATCATTGCTTATGTTAATAATGCCCTGGTAAATAAAAAATAATTGAAAATACTTATTATTAAATATGTATCCATTTAAAACATTTGAAAACTAATCTTGAATTTTAAAATATTACTTCACATAAATATCACCTTAGAATTTAAGAATGAGCTTTGATTTTGCATTTGTGATTAATAGAGGGATTACTAATGTCATTAAAATTTTATAGGTCCTCATTTTGCTGAGTATTTGAGCTGGGAAGTGACTGGTGAATGTAATGTACTATTGAAATGCAAGGTAAGGGGGCACCAGGGTTGCTCAGTCGGTTGAGCATCTAACTCTTGGTTTCAGCTTAGGTCATGATCTCATGGGTTGTGGGATCAAGTCCCACATCCAGCTCAGTGTCAGGCTCCACATTCAGTGGGGAATCTGTTTGAGATTCTCTCCCTCTGCCCCTTCCCTTGCATGGGTATATGCTCTCTCTCTCCCTCTATTTCTCTCTAAAATAAATAAGTAAATCTTAAAAAAATAATAAAGAAAGAAAAGAAATGCAAGGTAAGAAGTAGATAAATTTGAAACATTTGATATAAGGGAAATAAAGTTAAGCAGAATGCAAAAAAAGAGATCAGTTTTTCATCTCCTTTTGAACCAATGCTAAGTGACACATTCTTACTATTGAATATGACTATAGTCATTGGTTGGTAAGAAACATAAAATAAAATGAAACATAAAATAAGATAAAATAAAGCAACATAAAAATATAAGAAGACAAGATGATTGCTCCTATTCATTACACCCTAGTTGATGAGGACAGGCTCTGCTTTTTTTTTTTTTAAATGAAGACTTTATGTTTTTTAGGAGTTTTAGGTTCACAGCAAAATTGCAGAGAAGGTACAGAGATTTCCTATCTAGTCCCTGCCGTTATACATGTACAGCCTCCACCTTCATCAATACCCCCACACAGAGTTGCACATTTGTTACAATTGATGATCCTACATTGACTGGATACATCATAATCACCCAAAGTCCACAATGTAATTATGGTTCGCTTTTGGCATTATTTATCCTATAGGTTTAGACAAATGTATAATGACCTGTATCCACTATTGTAGTTTCATAGAGTTTTTTCACTGCCCTAAAAAGCCTCTGTGCTCTACCTATCCATTCTTCTCCTCCTCCTTCCCCATTTAAAAAATAATAATAATAATCTCAGAAGAATCTCAGGTTGTCTTTGTTTCAGACCAAATCAACATTCTAACCAGTAGATGTATTCCACAATCATTCTAGATCCACTGTCTTTCCATGGAAATGCAGCAATTTCCTATCTAACTTGTGTGACTGATGGCAGCAGTATCTTTGACTCTCCTCTAGCTCCACCATGGGGTCTGAAACCAGTGTACTGCCAAGAGGGGAGAGGTTTGGTAAAGAGTTTGTAGCTCACAACCAATTCTCTCATAAGGCCTTGGGGAAAAATTCAGGAAAAAAAAAAGTTCATATCACATTCTAAATCATTTTGTCAAACCTTAGCTCATGGTGCGTTCAGCTGAGTGAGTCACCAAAATGTTTTGGATCCGGAATTGATGGATGAGGTTGGCGTGTGAAGGTCATGACAGCCGACAGTGACTCCAAAGTAGAAGCATGGATTGGGCATTTGACATTATAAAAGCAAGAACCTAAGTGCCCCAGTCTCTTCTAGGTCTGATAAAATTTAAAGAAATTACAATCTACCAGAAATGTGTCAGAGATTCTAGGAAATGGCAAAGCTTCCTGAACAACAAATTCTCAGGCAGGAGCCCAAACCCCCTCTTTCATCTGGCTGTCCACTGCCATCTTGTCCCTGAATCACTTTCTCTTCCACACCTCCCATCCCATAAACCACCCTTTCCCAAAGGCCCACATAGCTATCCTCCTTCTTTCTGTACTACCTGGTGCATCAGCCTTCCGGGACGTAAGCTCCAGTTTTCTGTTCTGATGGCTTTCCTCAGGAGAATCAGCCCCTTGGCCAGATTCTGAATCTAAAATTAGGTTCTGAATTTTCATACATTATGTATTTATGCTGTTCCAGTACCACTTTCTTTCAACTTATCCAACAAAATCCTTTCTCTAGGTTTCTCTAGGCCCAGCTTAGTAATCTTTTCTGTAAGGCCTTTCACTTCTCTGCCCAGGTAGAATGAACCTTCCTCTGTTTTCCCATAGCTCTTTGTTTCATTATTATAGCAATTTAGGTACATTTAGCAATTTATATCCTCTCCAACACCATTGTTTCCTGTCTTGTTAATTTTCATCATTCTCACTGGTGTGAGGTGGTATCTCATTGTGATTTTGATTTGTATTTCCCTGATGGCAAGTGATGCGGAACATTTTCTCATATGCTTGTTGGCCATGATGTCCTTTTTGGAGAAATTTCTGTTCATGTCTTCTGCCCATTTCATGATTGGATTTTTTGTTTCTTGGGTGTTGAGTTTGATAAGTTCTTTATAGATCTTGGATATAAGTTAGCCCTTTATCTGATATGTCATTTGCAAATATCTTCTCCCATTCTGTAGGTTGTCTTTTAGTTTTGTTGACTGTTTCTTTTGCTGTGCAGAAGATTTTTATCCTGATTAAGTCTCAATAGTTCATTTTTGTTTTTATTTCCCTTGCCTTCATAGTAGTATCTTGCAAGAAGTTACTGTGGCCAAGTTCAAAAAGGTTCTTGCCTATGTTCTCCTCTAGGATTTTGATGGATTCTTTTCTCACATTTAGACTTTTCAACCATTTTGAGTTTATCTTTGTGTATGGTATAAGAGAATGGTCTAGTTTCATTATTTTGCACGTGGCTGTCCAATTTTCCCAGCACCATTTATTGAAGAGACTGTCCCTTTTCCAGTGTATAGTCTTTCCTGCTTAGTCAAATATTAGTTGACCATAGAGTTGAGGGCCCATTTCTGGGTTCTCTAATCTGTTCCATTGATCTATGTATCTGTTTTTGTGCTAGTGCAATACTGTCTTGATTATCACAGCTTTGTAATACAGCTTGAAATCCACCATTGTGATGCCCCTGGCATTGGTTTTATTTTTCAATATTCCTCTGGCTATTCGGGGTCTTTTTGGATTCCATCCAAATCTTAAGATTATTTGTTCTAACTCTCTGAAGAAAGTCCATGGTATTTTGATAGGGATTGCATTGAATGCATAAATTGCCCTGAGTAACATAGACATTTTTACAATATTTATTCTTCCAATCCATGAGCATGGAATATTTTTCCATCTCTTTGTGTCTTCCTCAATTTCTTTCAGAAGCGTTCTGTAGTTTTTAGGGTATAGATCCTTTACCTCTTTGGTTAGGTTTATTCCTAGGTATCTTATGCTTTTGGGTGCAATTGTAAATGGGATTGATTCCTTAATTTCTCTTTCTTTAGTCTCATTAGTTATAGAAATACCACCTATTTCTGTGCATTGATTTTGTATCCTGCCACATTGCTGAATTGCTGTATGAGTTCTAGCGGAGTCTTTTGGTTTTCTATATACAGTACCGTGTCATCCATAAAGAGGGAGAATTTGACTTCTTCTTTGCCAATTTTAATGCCTTTTATTTCATTTTGTTGTCTGATTGCTGAGGCTATGACTTCTAGTACTATGTTGAATAATAGTGGTGAAAGTGGACATCCCTGTTGTGTTCCTGATCTTAGAGGAAAGGCTCTCAGTTTTTCCTCATTGAGAATGATATTCTCTGTGCAATTTTCATAAATGGTTTTTAAGATATTGAGGAATGTTTCTCTATCCCTGCACTTTGAAGAGTTTTAATCAGGAATGGATGCTGTATTTTGTCAAATGCTTTCTCCGCATCTATTGAGAGGATTATATGGTTCTTGTTTTTTCTGTTATTGGTGTGATCTATCACGTTGATTGTTTTACGAGTGTTAAACCACCCTTGCAACCCGGAAATAAATCCCACGTGGTCTTGGTGAATAATCCTCTTAATGTACTGTTTGATCCTATTTGGGTAGTATCTTGGTGAGAATTTTTGCATCCATGTTCATCAGGGACCACCAATTTTAAAATCAATTTTTACTGCTGGAAATAGAGATGCTGTTGATTTAGGTTTATTCATTTGTATCTATTTTATTTTAAACTCTCTACTGATTAAAATAGCTTTCAATTGATCCTTTTAGAAATCTATGCCTTCTAAGTTTAGTGATTTTTCTTCTATCCAATGCTACATTAAGAACTATTTAGTTTTGTAAGAGTTGCATTCCCTTATTTCAAGAAGTATAATTATGGTTTTTCTTCTAGGTGGCAAATATTAAGAAGGAGACCCATATTGTGTGGTACAAAGATGAGAGAGAGATATCAGTGGATGAAAAGCATGACTTCAAGGATGGTATATGTACCCTGCTTATAACAGAGGTAGGTAGCTATAAATATGAAATGTAATATATTAGTTCTATTCCCTACATTCTTCTAAAAAAGAGATTGGATTCTGTATTCCTTGTCTCCAGGCATTTTTAATACCTTGCTTCTAGCTGCTCCAAAGATCCCTGCCCTGACATAACCCAAAAAACAAGCCATGGGAGCACAAAAGCTTCTCTCACCTTGTGATATGCATAGATTTGTCATCTATCCAACCAGTATTGGGTAGACAACACAACTTTGGCCTCTCTACTACCTCTCTTCATAGATGAGTGAGTGGCAGGGCAATTAAGTAGATTCTTCTCAGTTTGCTCTTCAGCCTCATGATAACTTGTTCCCTAAAAGCACAGAGGCAATCAGACATAGTACTCAATTAAGTACAAGTTTTTATCTACTTTTTATTTAAAAGAACATAGCCTTCAAATATATGTGATCATTAGATTTTAATATGAAGGCAGAGTAAAGGATAAGGACTTTAAGTCTCGAATCAATCACAACCTTAGAGGGTTAAAAATCAGGACTGCCAGCAAGTGAAATGATGATGGACAGGTTCATCTGTGAACTCATCACTCACTTGGCCAGATGTTTGTTTAATGTGTGATCCGACTGTGGTTCTATAAACCATAGGACCTTAAAAATGCCAACACCATACATACTCTGAGGCTGCTATAAGCTGCAGTGTGGTATTTCCATTCTCCCTTAGTTTTCCAAGAAAGATGCTGGGATTTATGAAGTTATTCTGAAAGACGACAGAGGAAAAGATAAGAGCAGACTGAAGCTTGTGGATGAAGGTCAGTCTACCAGCTGCTGGGGTGCATTCTGTGTATTCTTTCTGTGTACAGGTTACCAGACTGCTAAGTGAGGCTTAGGGACAACTAATGTCGTGCAGGGTTTTTGTCCACAGATTTTGTTTTAATTGAAATTCCAGCAGAGCAAACTACTGTTTTGTTAAAAAATACTTCACTTTTAGTCTTCCTGGAAATCCAAAGTGTACTTTTGATCTTCAGAGAATTTATAGTCCATAGTCCTCAAGGGTTCTGCTTTCATTATAAATCATCATTTTTGTTTCAACCCTATAAAAAATGTTCCAGAAACAAAAACTACTGTGAGGAGTATCTGGCTGGCTCAGTGGGAGGAGCATGGGACTCTTGATCTCAGGGTTGTGATTTTGAACTCCATATTGGGTGTAAAGATTACTTAAAAAAAAAAAAAAAAAGAACTATTATTTTTTTAAACTACCATGAAAAGCATGTCACCAAATAGTCTGCTCTTAACAGGTGGCAAAAAAGATTTATATATGAAACATGAAACCTCTCAGTTATTAGCAGAGCAAGAGAGCAATTTCCATTTTTCAGAGGCTTCTAAGCACAAATATATCATGATAACAAAGACCTACGTGTGACCACCAAACTTCCAACTGTGTTCTTGAACAAAATCTTTAACAATATTATTAGCAAACAGTCTAACTTTGATTCCACCTTCCTGTTCCTGGTGGAAGCAAGACTAAATGTGCTTACTGGCAAAAAGCACTATCAGGCTGAGAATTATCAGGGAACCTGGATGGTTGATTCATTATGAGCTGATGGCACAGATAAGAATACTTCTGCTTATGTAAACTATGATTTCTTGGGACTTAAGAAGAGGATCCTAAAGCCAAGAACTTTCCTGGAAATCTCACTATGGTTTTCTCTAGAATGTAAATATGGTGATAGTTACAACAAATTAAAGAGGGAAAAATAAAAATAAGAGCAGGGATCTTTTAAAAGTTGATACAAATTGAGGTATTTCCTCAAAGAGCACTTATTAATTAGTTGTCCAGCAAATTCACCTGTGGCCAATACCCTTCCCCAGACGAGATAATGTTGAGAGCATGTGCTACTAACAATTTGAGAGCTGACCTTAAGTTGAACAGTTTTCTTAAGTTGAACAGTTTTATGCTAAAGCTCTGTCTATGAATCTCTATCAACAGCCTTTAAAGAACTGATGACCGAAGTATGTAAAACAATAGGTAAGTTAAAATGGTCTCCCCACGACAATGCTTCACTATTCACTATAGTCTTACAGCTGTATGAACTATGCTGGTTTCCTCTTTCAGCTTTGTCTGCTACAGACCTGAAAATCCAGAGCACAGCCGAGGGCATCCGACTGTACTCTTTTGTTACTTACTACGTGGATGATCTAAAAGTTAACTGGTCCCACAAGTAAGTAAATGGGAACTTAATTGCCATGTAGAAATTCTTTCTTCCCTGTGTGCATGTTTTGGGGGTGGCGGATGTGGGCAGGGAGGGAGCAAAAACAATCCCCTGTTCTTCCTCTCAGGTAAGGAGCCTTCTTACTTCCCAGGTCCGATGTTGACAAGCGTAGGAAAGAAGCACCTCCACCATTCCCTTAGCGTGAGGTTAGCACTTTCCCTCAACATGTATATGCTGAGGCCAGTGATGGCTGATGTCATCTTTGTGATCTGTGAACTATCATAATCCACATACCTCTCTATAATGGAACTTCCACTTCCAGAAGGTTGATCTTGGGCTCTCTGCTTTGCCAGGCACCAGAACCATAGTCTCGTCCTCCCTTTCTTTATATACAACTAATATGAATTAATAGCCATTTGCCAAAGAAACCTAATCCAGTGGAGTGTCTGAGTTTGTTATTGTTATCATTAATAGCAGATGGCGTAATTGGGCATTAGCATGTCTCTTGTCCACCTTTGGAGGGCACTGGGGATTCAAGATTACTTTGGGAATATATATTTGAACTAGACTGAGCCTGCAGACCTGTTCTGTTCCCAGGCTCATTTGTGGAGTTATAGGTGAACTCAAATTCACCTCTGGGATTCTAGGAGCTGAAGTAGGTTTCTAAGTCAAACCAGTTCCTCTGTTATACCTTTGGCAGTGTCCTTAACCTCTGCCCTTCCTTGAAATTTCCTGAGCTGAAACAGAAGAGCAGCCTGGCATAGAAATCTGATTGGGCACAGCCACTTCAGTCTCTCTTTGGAGACACAGGACACTCATTCCCTAAGTCCTTAGGAGCCCCACTGAGCAGTATGTCACTGTGGCAGCCCTGGGAAGAGGCTCACAACAGTGGTTATTTGTGTCTTCTTAACAGTAGGTGTCTACAATGTGCTGTCCATTGCTCCAAGCCCTTCACATGTATGAATTCAGTTAAGATTCGCAACTCTAGAAGGCAGGTAATTCTCACTTTAGTGATGAGGAAGCTCTGGCTCAGAGAAGTGACTTGCCCAAGGTCACACAGCTAAGTGAGAGATGGAGGACTGAGCCCAGGCAGCCTGGCTCCAGAGCTCCCCTTATCATGGCACTACTCTGTTTTCAAGTTGCTTTAAAAGTCTAGATTGAACATTTAACCAGAACTGGGTCCCACAAAATGGTCATTTGTGTTTTCTTTAAAATGACTTTAGTGTAATATAGAACAGTGTTTTTATTCTTATTTATTTCCTGAGTTCTTTAAAAAAAAAAAAAAAAAGCAAAACAGAGGGGAGGAGGGAGAGAACAAGAGAAATCCCAATTTGAATGCTTAGGGTTTCAGTCCTTTGTTCTATTTCTTTCAGAATACAGTTAGGAAAGTAATTATAAGTTAAAATAGATCAAATTCTAGGAAATTCCTCTGTGACATCTAGGACATTCTAATATATCAGTCTGAAGAATAAAAGAAGATAAATTAACTGAATCATCAAAAAGTTTTATATCATCTTTAAAAGAATTACTTGTTCAAAAAAATTAGAACATTCAGTTTTAAGAGGAAGCTGCTATTAGACTAGCAAGACATAAACCTCTTACACTATTTGGTCTAGTCAGCTGAATGACTATTTTGTGTACCTGTGTGCCTATGAGACATTTCAAGAATCAAGGACTGATTGTCTTCACTGTCTTTACGTAAGTATGTGGCGTAACAGGAAAAAAACTTGAAATGGATTTTAGTCTTGGCTTTGTTCCCATCTTCCCTTGAATCTTAGGCAAGTCATTTAATTTTCTGAAATCTCAGATTTCTCCCATATGAAATAGGAGCAATAATACCTGTCCTATCTCAATACTGATGGAGCCAATGAGAGAATAAAAATTTATGGCACTTTGTAAACCATGAAGGGCTTTACAAATGTAGGTATTATTATGCATGCTAGTCAGAGATTAGAGAATTCAAACAGATTTATTATAACAAAACCAAGGACTGTCCATCTTTCTAACTCTTTAAGACAATATTGCTCAGACTGGAGTCTGTGGGTACAGATGGGTTCCTTTACCCTACATGTTATGGCAGTTTATTTTGTTTTCTTTTATTTTTTTTTTAAGATTTTATTAATTTGAGAAAGAGATAGAGCACAAGCACGGGGGAGGGGCAGGGGCAGAGAGAGAAGCAGATTCCCAGCTGAGTAGGGAAGCCAACTCAAGGCTTGATCCCAGGACCCCAGGATCATGACTGGAGCGGAACTCAGACACTTAACCCAGGGCAGTTTGTGAATATCTTTATTCTGTAGAATGTAGTGTATAAAAAAAGTGCTGTTTCTTTTTTAGTGGAGATTTTTGTTTTTCAGTTTTTGGTTCATTTAGTTTATTACAACTACAAACGTAATACATGCTTGTTTTAGAAAATATAATATCATATTACATATTAGAAAGATCTTATAATATCATACATAGTTTTCCTAGCCATAGTGTATACTTCCAGTGTTTTCTCTATGCATAATTGTTACTATATTTAAGTAGTTTTGTATACTGTTTCTCTTTTTTCCTCACGTTTACAAACTCTTCATAAAGTTTCTTTTAGCTTCATTGAGAGTAGGCCTACCTCTATCTTTCTCTTACTTCATTTATAACTAACATTTCTAGACCATCAGATCACAAAGTCAAGGGTTCCACTTGCTTTAATTCTCTTGTAAAGAATGCAATGTATGTGTCTGCTCATGACCTACTGTAGACTTTGGAGAAACTCATGTCCAGAAACAGAAAAGGTGCCTCTTTCATTTTGGCAGAGACTCAGCTTTTCACTTACTCTTGGCCTTACTAGCAAGTACATATTTACATATGCTCTAAATAGCTTTGTAAGCACTATGTCAGTAGATGTCAGCCACAGATGAACCTCCTTAAATCTGTTTTTAATTAGTTTGTAAAATCTGATTTATAGCCATAGACCATCTGCACAAAATATGCAGTAATATAATATGTAGTTTGGCCTTTTCACTTTAAAGATTCTCTTAGTCCTACAAATCAACCTAAGCAAAGACAAAGATAATTAATACCACTGAGAAGTATTAGTGTTGCAATCTGCTAGGGCTCCAGACTGCTGTTGAGAGTTCAATGTACAGACTGTCCGACCCCCCACCCCCACCCAGGGCCTTGGAATCTGTGATTCAGGACCCATACTTTTTCTGAAGCTGAACATGTTTGAAACCCTATAAAACTCTATGGCTAGACCTTCAAAGAGAGACAGTGTAAAAATCAGCTCTGGATGAAAGCAAATGATAACAATGTTTTCTTTGCTATGAACAGTGGGACTCCTATTAAGTACACAGACAGAGTTAAGAGTGGGGTCACCGGGGAGCAGATCTGGCTGCAAATCAATGAGCCCACTCCGAATGACAAAGGGAAATATATAATGGAACTCTTTGATGGCAAAACTGGACACCAGAAGATGGTGGATCTTTCTGGACAAGGTAAATGAATATTTCACAGATTAGAACTTCCTGTGGAGGAGGAGGCTTTTAAAAAAGAATGAAGGGTGATAAGAGGCCATTACATCTGACTATTGGAAGATGATTGGAAAGTTTAACAAAGCAGTTTAAATTCAGCATGGTGGTAGAAGCAAGAATTCAGTGGGTCTTGGAGTATTGGGGCAAAGTATAGAGACAATAAACGTGAAGATGCTCACAAAGAAGGGCAGGATTTAGTCACTTGAGTAAGAACAAGTACTGAAAAAGAACTGTTATGGTGATTGAAATTTGAGCATATTTAATAGAGCTTAAGAAATCAATTGGGCTGGAAGGATCGAAGATGTGAGTGAAGGGGAATTACTGATATATCTGTGCTCTAAAGAATGAGCAGGGGTGAAGAATGAGGGCAGGGGTGAAGGCATTGACTTTGGAAAGGAGCAGGGATCCTTTTTCTTCAGAAACCTGGGGGTGGGGGGGTCAGTGGGGGGGTTGGGGGTGAATATATAGCAATAAGCAAAAATCAATATTGAGGAAAAGAGAAGAAAGTTGGAAAAATTGGGTCCTCGTGGCCTCACATTTCTTGGTCATTTGCTGAGAGAATGGGAGCATCTGGAGATAGAAGGGAAGAGGAACAGGAAGTAATGAGAGACACACATACATACAGATGAGAGGTAACATGCAGCCATCAACTACCACAGGTTAAACAGTTAAGACAGGTGGAAGAGGAGAGGGAGCATGTACAACTGTGATTCTTGCTCTGTCAGCCCCCAGGTCTGGGAAACTACAAGATCAGGATGTTGTGCCCTAAGGCTTTTAATGTGTGGCTTATTTATCACGGTCCCTGCCTCCAGCTCCAGTCTCTATCATTCCCTCTCAAGGCCTTGGGACTCTGCCTCGAGGTGTTACTTCCACTGCTCCTGACCAGTTTCTGCCTAACATTCCTCAAGAATATCATGGGCTGACTTTTTATTCCCCTTCTTCATATACTAAAATGTGATCGGAATATTCCAGAACTCTTAGTGTTTTTAATCCTCAGAGACTAGACTCACAATTAAGAGCACAGCCCTTCAGCAGTCCTGCCTTGAGCTATTTTGGGCTGAGCTCCCCTCACACCCCACCCCCACCACGGACCCCAGGCAACCCAGCCTCCCACTCATGAGGACTAGAAAGATGGGAGTGGCTGCCTCAGACCCCACTGTGCCTGAGTCATACGCTGCACTAACAGGGGATTTCTTCTGCAGTCCATCTGACATTTTGAAACACAACTGAAAACCAGAAACAGGAAGAGGGTGGATAGATTTAAACCTTAAAAAAATTTTTTTCTTTGACTCTCTGGCCCACCCAAGCAGATTGGGTCAGCGGTGCCCAACTCTTCTCAGTGTAGTGTGGGCAAAAGGAAGAGTATTGAATGCTTAGCCTGGCTAAGCCTGACTGGTCTACCTCCAGAGACTTGAAGGCCAACTTTTTATGCTTATTTTTCCCATCTGTAAAAGGAGGGGGATTGGCCTAGTGTTATGTAAATACTTTCTAGACATAAAATAATTATGATTCCCAGACCACATAGAAGCTTAAAGAGGAGGTAAGAGAGATTTAAAGATAAAGCTGCCTTTTAGCCTGAAGCATTCAAAGTGGCTTGTTCTTGCAGGTTCAGGGGGGAAAAAAGATTTTAAAACTCTGTAGCTCTCCTGTCCTTGTCTCCCTGTCTTTTATCTGGGCTTCTGCCCACCTTATAAGCATTGCTTCAGGCAGACACTGGCAACAGGCTATGAGTGTAGTAGCTCCTTTGCCTTTTAACACAGATAGACCAGACCTCGCAGTAGGGAGACATTTACTGTTCAGCTAGGAGGCTGTGGTGCCGTTTGGGATCATTTAATAAGAGAAAAGCCTTTTTGATGTTCAGGATGCTTATCACACAATCACTTTTATTACCACTTTATTTTTGGCACAGCTAATCTTTGCCTTTCTGTTTGAAAGGAAGGTCTCTCACTGAATTGGGAGCTTCTAAAATCCACTACTTCACCTTTTCTACCCAGAAAGTGTTGGCTTCTCTTATTAAATCTGTCAGGTTGCAGAGTAAATGGGCAGGCAGTCTTATTCAAAGTCAGTTTAGTTATATCCATACCACACTGACCTCAGGCTATGAATTTTTAATCCACTCCTGTATGTCATCAATTCTGCTTGAGAACATTCTAACTTCTTTTTTTTTTTCCTCTTCTAGCATACGATGAAGCCTTTGCTGAATTCCAGAGATTAAAGTAAGTCGCTTGCCATTTGTGTGCACTGATTTCTCTGGAACGTTGTGTGCTGCTCCCCCACCTAACAGAGAGGGTCTTGCATTTTAGCAAATGCCTAAAAACAGCACTTCCCACTGCTTTTTGAGCAGCCCAATATCTCTGAGGCAATGCAATGCAGTCAAGGTTCACTACTTTGAAGTCATACTAAAACAAAATTCTTCTTTGTTTGCGTGTTTGTTCGTTTCTCTCACCACAGACAAGCTGCCATTGCTGAGAAAAGTAAGTAAACCCCCTTCCCATGTATTCCTGGAACAGTCTCAAAACATAACTTTTATTATTTTTTTTTTATTGTGACTGCAGGGAGTGGAAGTTTTTTTCCCCTTTTCTTTCATTCTTTTTTTTTTTTTTTAAATCTTAGGTGTTCTACATATGTTTTAGTCTCTTGAGTAAGAATGTCTGTGAAAAAAAAGGTCTCAGGTTACATTCTAAGAATGTCACTGGGTTCTTGACTTGAGCCATACACTGGGAGTCCTGAGAAATCTCTGGGCACAAGTTATACAATAAGTTGTTAATCACTTGGGGCAGGCACAATCTATCAGTAAAGAATATCTATATATTAAAGAAGAAATAAGAAATATCATAAACTTGACATCAGGTAAATCACTCTAACCAGTTGCCCAACAAACACTTCTGCATTTTCCTAAGAGCCCCTGTAGGATAAAAGATGCCAAATAAGGCCTTCTTGAATACTTCACAGTCTGAATGAGCAAACACCAAACTGTCAAGTCTGTGTACCCAGAAATGTGTACACTACTAACTTCTGTCAACTGTTTGCCTCATACATGGAGATTTCTAGAACTCAGTCTCTTAAGATTCTGAGAGTTATGAACTAATTATCATAATCATTCAGGTTCTCTCTGAGCCTGTGAGGCAGAATTGGAGAATTATTGAGGGTTAAAACTATAGTGTCAGTCCAGAGCTGGAGTGGAAGGGAACCAGGATGGGGAATGAGAGGTGAAGTCATCTGCCAGCCTTCAGTAGCTCTTGGTCACCTGGAACTTTTCATCTTTGACTCGCACTGCTTTCTTCTCTCCTTCCTACTCTTAGCCTCTCCCCACTCTTGTGCTGGGTTTGTGAGCTGTAAGGCAGCTGCTATTGGCCAATGGGGCAGATGCCAGCACCGGGGCATGTGGGGGGAGCGCAGCAAGAGAGGGGAGCACTTCTTGTTGGTACCAACTGTGCCCCTCCTGCTCCTGTATGCACAAGCTAAGCCAGTGTCCATAGTGATGGCCACTCCCCATTCTCCAACTCTGGTGGACAAGGAGCCCTGACCCTCCCTCCAATTCATGAATTGTTTCTGAAATGTCTGCATCAAAGCAGTTTAAAGCTTGGAAGAGACTTTAGTGCTGTTTTCGCCCCATGTGTTTAACCTTTTGTAAGCCAAGAGATGCTTAGTTCAAACAATGTCTTTCAAGCAGATCCAAAATATAAAATAGGTAAAAGCCATGTTAGCTTAATTGAAGGTGGAATGGGCTCCCTGATTCAGTGCCCCTCTTCAGCCCTGGGCCCTCCTCCCAGGGTCCCCAAGAGGAATCCCATGGATGCTATGGAGCAGAGCTGAGTAACTTCATGTCCACAGATGTAATGCAATCCTCCCCCCATGGGGATCAGGAGTCTAGGGTCCACACAGTGAGATGATTTGCCTGATGTCACACATCCAGATGATGAATTGAGCTTCCAAATGGTGCAAGGTACAATGGAATTAGCAGGAGAAAGCAGTCAAGATTCAAGCTTGTTCAAAGCTTTAGTCTAACTTAGTGGAGAAGAAGGTTGTAGAAATAGGGATCTAGAGTCACACATTCATTGAAGTAGGCCTAAAGGTGAGAGGGTGATGGCCACTGCATCAGTGCCAGACAAACGTCCCTTTGAGCAGATTACAGAAAGTCGTCATTCCCTGGGGCTGAGCCGGTCACTTCCAGAGCATGGGGCTTGGTGGGGGCAGAGGAGCAAGAGATCAGCTCTGGATTTCAGCACCCTTCCCATACCTTATCCCTTCAGCTGGGGGCCTCTGTACTCATGGCCAAAGATATAATAGCCCTCCATAACCCGATACGCCAAGAACTACCAGGAGACAAAAAAGGGAAGCTCTTTAGGAAAGGCCTCAAAGGAAGCCCACATCTGCACAAGTCTCCAGATATCATGGTGTACAGCCTCCAATTATGCAATCTTTTTTTTTTTTTTTAATCATAGGGAAGCCCATAAGAGAGACCAAGCAGACTTGGAGGCTGTCCAAAGAGATCTGTTCTGCCTCCTTGAACAAAGCCCCACTGAGCTACGGATGGCCCACAGCTGAAAATAGCCATGAAAATTAGAGAGCAAGTCTTAATACCACAAAGCCATCTCAAGCTGATAATTTAGGTATAGGTAGAGGCACCCATGCCCACAAATTATCTGTACGGGGAAGGATCCAAAATTACTGAATTCTTTTCTAACTTTGCATATTAAAAACAGGTATAAAATAATTGTAAGGAAAGGGAAACTAAATTGGAAAGTTAATACCCTGCGGGGGTTCTTTGTGAGTGTGGTTACTGGTACTCCTCATTTCAGTGATTAACCAGAAATACCTATTCTTGCAGATCGTGCCCGAGTGTTGGGTGGTCTCCCAGATGTGGTCACCATCCAGGAAGGCAAGGTAAGCATGGAGCACCCCTGTTCCTGCTTCTTCCACACCAGCAATGGGTTTTGGTGCCCAGACTTTGTTCTAAGAGAACTCCCACAATCTTCATCTTAAGCCATTGCTGCTTAGGCTTGACTTCAAAACAGCCAAATACAAGATTCAAAATGCAGTCCTTTTTCCAGTCATCTCAGTGTTTGTAGGCCAAGCATCAGGATTCAAGCTCACCTATGGGGGCACATGTTAACCACTTAGTCTCTTTCTAGAGATACCCTTCCATGTTATAAGAAGCAAAACATATTCAATCACAACTATATGACAAATGTGATTGAAGAAAGATGTGACCTCTTTCCCTACGAAGGAAAAAAATCCTGCTCCATGAATTTCTAAAGGCTCTGTTTCAGTTGAAAACTGATTTCTTTTTTTTTTCAAGATTTTATTTATTTATTATAAATAAAATTGAGAGAGAGAGAGAGAGAGAGAGAGCACAGAGGGGTAGGAGGCAGAAGGACTCCCCACTGAGCAGGGAGCCCAATGTGGGACTCCATCCCAGGACCCCAGGATCACCACCTGAGCCAAAGGCAGATGTTCAACGACCGAGCCACCCAGGCACCTCTGATTTCTTTCCGTTTAACTTTAAACTTGTATTTCCTGGCTCCACAATAATCTCTCTGAAAAGCAATGAACATAATTTCTAACCTGGATTCACTTTCTTCATCCCTCTGTTTCATTAAAACAAATTCAATAAGCCAGCCATAGTAGAGGCGTACTTGTTTAAAATGAAAACTTTTCCCAGTGAAGACATATGATAGGTAGACTAGGGTTAAAAGAAAGCATGTGGAAAGGCTTTAGTGAGAGGCAGGTTTCATCCAGCTACATTTCTTCACAGGTGGAATATAAGACCACAGCTAACTTTAAGTTCAACCATTGCAGGACTGCTTTTGTCTCTAGACTCCATTTTTCATATTCCTCACTTAATGGGGTTCAAAATATTCAGCTCACTGGGTTGTAGTGAGAATTCAGAGAGAGAATGTATGTGAAACGACTTTGTGATCTACAAAGGAAATAAATCTAAAGGATGGATAATTGTTTTCCATGACATTTAAGGTATCTGGGAGTTTGGTTTGGTTTTGTTAAGTTTGAAAACCCAAGGAGCACCTGGCTGGCTCAGTCAGTAGAGCATGTAACTCTAGATCTCAGGGTCATGAGTTCAGTCCCCACATTGGACAGGGAGCCTACTTAAAGAGAAAAAAGAAAAACAAAAGTTTTAGGTAGAGGTAGAGGCACTTGGTATAAATTTGTTCACTTGATAAATTTGATGACAATGGCTTGATTATTTTTCTTGCTGAAATGTATTTGTAGAATAATGTAGTAAGAGATGCTACTTAACCATGGAAAGGAAACAGATTTCCTAATCTCCAAATTTTAAATAATACTCTTATAGAGGAGGTAATAAGTGATAAGACCTTTTAGAGGGCTATTTAGGAGAATAGCCTTTCCCCTTTATATTGTAAATTATATATTCCCTTATAATTTCTGGATTATGGTAAGAAAAAATGCAAAAATGGAATCTCAAACATGAAGTAAATTCAACATTGTTGGCCATACAAGAAATGCAAGTTAAAACCACAACAAAATGTCATAACATCTATCAGAATTGCTAAAATTAAAAGAGTGACAACAACAGATGCTGATAAGGATGTGGAGAAACAGAATCATTTGTATGTTGCTGCTAGAAATATAAGGCAAGATTATACAGCCACTCAGGAAAACAGTTTGGCAATTTCTCAAAAAAAGAAAACATGCATTTACCATATAACCCAGTAGTTGTACTCTTGGGCATTTATCGTAAAGTAATTAAAATTTATGTTCACATAAAAACCTATATACAAACGTTCAACAGCAGCTTTATTCATAATAGTTGCACACTGGAAGCAGCCCAGATGACCTTTATAGGCGCGCACACACACACACACATACACACACACGAACCATAAAGAGGGACAAACTATTGTTCCCTGCAGTAACTTGGATGAATCTGCAAGGTATTATGCCAAATAGAAAAGGCAACTTCAAAAGGTTACATGTCATAGGATGCTATTTTTTTTTATTTTTTTAAAGATTTATTTATTTATTTATTTATTTATTTATTTATTTATTTGATAGAGAGAGAGAGAGAGAGAGAGAGAGAGAGGCAGAGACACAGGAGGAGGGAGAAGCAGGCTCCATGCCGGGAGCCCGATGCGGGACTCGATCCTGGGACTCCAGGATCGATAGGATGCTATTTATATAATGCTTTGGAAATGACAAAATTTTATTTTATTTAATTATTTATTTATTTATGGCTTGTTAATAGTGCCTTTATTTCTCTTCAGTAGTTGAATTTAAAGGGAGATAAACCAGTAAGGTCATCAGTAGGTCAAGGTTGGAGATTAAAGGTGTTACCAGAAACTGATTTCTTATTCTTTATTTTGATGATAATCTTGTAAAGAGGCTCAAGGAGCTGCCTTAGGCGGCCTCTTTAGCAGCTTTTCTCTCTGTCAGCATCCACTGCTTCTGTTTAGCCAGGCACTTCCCGGCAGAATAATGGGCTCCCAGGTCGTGATAGTGGTCCCGGTAGGCCTTGGTCACCTGGGTGAACTGCTCCAGCTCCTTGGCACAGTTCTGCCTGTAGCTCTCACCTTCCCGCTGCTGACAGGCCTTCAGCCTCTCCTAGATAATGTTGATGATTTCTTGATCCACTCTATAGTCTCTTCTCCATTGCATTTCTGCTTCAAACATGCACAAGACATCCTTTTCTTGGCACTCCGTGATGTCTGGCGCATGGCGGAACTCCCGGTGGTAGTAGTAATACCTGTTCTTTGCATGCTGCCGATCTATAAACTCTCTCACTAGGGTCACCGGCCGGTCCACGAGGAGGTCGAAGGCCTTCGTCAAATACGTTACGGGGTTGGGCACCGAGGTCTGCGGCGAGGGCGCCGGCGTGCGGCGCGGGGGCTCGGGGTACCTGTCCTTGTCCCAGCTGTCCGGCATGGCGCGGTGCCTGGAAGGGACAGTCCACTCTCGGAGGCGCGACCCCGGCCTCCGCCTGGGTCCCACGGCCTAGTGACTCGCCGCCGGAAATTACAAAATTTTATTTTATTTATTTTTTTAAGTTTTTTTTTTTAAATTTTTATTTATTTACGATAGTCACACAGAGAGAGAGCTAGAGAGAGAGGCAGAGACATAGGCAGAGGGAGAAGCAGGCTCCATGCACGGGGAGCCCGACGTGGGATTCGATCCCGGGTCTCCAGGATCGCGCCCCGGGCCAAAGACAGGCGCCAAACCGCTGCGCCACCCAGGGATCCCCTTACAAAATTTTAGAAATGGAAAATGGATTGGTGATTCCCAGAAGTTAGAAATGAGGTTGGGATGTTGGGGGCAGGGGGTGGGAGTTGGCGTGGGTACAAAGGGCAACATGAGAGATCCTTGTGAGGGCAATAAATGTTCTTTATCTTGGCTGAGGGGGTGGATACATGTACCTAGACCAGTGATAGAATTGAATAGAACCGCACACACACACAAATACCAATGAGTGCAAGCCAGACTGGGGAAATCTTTTTTTTTTTAATAAATTAATTTTTATTGGTGTTCAATTTACCAACATACAGAATAACACCCAGTGCTCATCCCACTAAGTGTCCCCCTCAGTGCCCGTCACCCATTCACCCCCACCCCCCGCCCTCCTCCCCTTCCACCACCCCCAGTTCGTTTCCCAGAGTTAGGAGTCTTTATGTTCTGTGTCCAGACTGGGGAAATCTTGAGTGGGAACAGTGGATTGCATCACTGTCAGTGTACTGGTTGTGTTATTATACTATAGTTTTGTAAAATGTTACTATAGGGGGGAAACTGGGTAAGAGCACACAGTCTGTCTATTGTTTTTTATGACTGTTCATGAATCTACAATTATCCATGAATTTTTCAACCAAGAAGTATGGTAAAGTAAAATTATAGGTCTAAACATTGATCTTTTAAAATAAGAGGGTTTCAGCATTGATGGTAATATAATAAAATATCAGGAAATAGGAATACATTTTGGTAGGGCACCTTAGCAACTGCAACAGACTGGGTGGGGTTTGGGGGGAAATAAAACAAGGGAGATGGAACCTGAAAATTAGTCCCATTATCTGAAACAGCTGTTACGGTTCTGCTGCTGGGCTCTGTGAGGCAGACTAAATGCAAAGTGAGCAGGTGGTGATTATGGCAATGAGATTTCTCTACTGAGACAGAATCCAAATGCCACACAAGAGCAAAAGGCATCTATGTGTTTACAAAAGCAAGAGTGCAGATGGGAACTGGAAACAAACTCCTTTGTGTGGCTCTGATGAGAAGCCTTCCCAAAGCCAGAAAGCTGAGATCCTACAGAAACCTACTCAGGATTGAAGTTAAATAGTAATTCATGCAGGTGTAGACACCACATAACTCCACCTGTCATTCCAGGGGGGAGTTATATTTATCCTCCTTCAGGTCCTGCCAAACCACCAGACTCTTGAAGTTGGATCATTGTACCTGATATATTTCCTTCCCTGTCATAAAACTTGTCTTACAGGCACTTAATCTCACCTGCATCGTTTGGGGCGACCCAACTCCAGAGGTTTCTTGGTTGAAGAATGAGAAGCCCTTGGTCCCAGATGACCACTGCAGTGTCAAGTTCGAGGCTGGCAAGACTGCCTACTTCACCATCAATGGGGTGAGCACGGCCGACTCTGGCAAATACGGGCTAGTTGTGAAGAACAAATACGGCTCAGAGATCAGCGACTTCACTATCAGTGTGTTCATCCCAGAGGAGGAGGCAAGAAAGGCCACTGAGCAGTCCCAGAAAGGCAACAAGAAGTCCAAGTGACCAGAGACCACCCAGAGGGTGTGCAAGGGCAAGGGCAGCTGGGCTGAGCTGCCTTATGTTACTTGTGTGCAAATGGTTTGGGCTTATGTATAAGGAAGTCTTCATGCTTTCTACTCCCTATTTTTGTGCTGGCTCCGGGGAAAATTGTGAAATCTTTTATTCATATAAAAAACCATCAACTAACAACATTTTAATAGTTTTTCTTTATCTACAAATTCCGTGTTAAGAAAATACCATTTGTAGCACAAATATTAGGAAACGGTTTTAAGGAAAAGACCAGAATAAAGTCAGAGGGACGTTGAATGATGGTCAGAGAGCAGATGTATGTGTTGTGAACCAGTGTTTGGACTCGGCTAGACTTTTCCCAGTAAATTCTCATGGGTTGCAATCACACTTCAGCATCCTGTCAAGATGGGGACAAATTGTTAAGCCACCTGGTATGTTTTGTGTGTTGTTAATGATAGTGACGTGCACTTCTGTTGACGGTCTTGTGATTTGGAGCCTCCTCAGTATTAATAAACAGTCCTCACACCTCTCCTCTTTCCCATCAGTGTTTTTCTCATTCTTCCTGTTCGGTTGCTCTGTTGGGTGGTCTCTGCTGCATCCTTCCCATCACCTCTATAGCACATCTTCTAATTTAAATTCCTTTTGGTTAAAGCAGTACTTATATAGCATGATCAGATGAGTCACCCAAGGTCAATTGAGGTTCAGGGGTGTGAAATTGCTCTGTCACTGTACATCTGGTGGCTTACTGTACAATCAAGTCAATTCCATTGTTAAGATACCCAAAGTAATTGCATGTAATGTGTCAATTAGGGATAATAAGATGGTGTGGGAGTCTACTGCCAGAATTGGCGACAAAGGGAGTGCAGCTAAGGAAAAAAGAACCCTGATTCTGAGTTCAGAGAACTGTCTGCTTGGAAGACTGCCCCTCTTTTCAGGGCTTGCTGACAGGCAGCATTCTGCTTTAGGAAATTTGGTTCTTCCCCAGCCTCTACCCCACAACCGCTACCACCACCATCGCTTACATGCACCACACACACACAGAAACATTCACACTTGTACTTACTCACAAACCACTGGAGGAAAATTATGATGAAAAGAGGTTTCCCCTCTCCATCCTCCTACCAAAGGTCAGGGATGGGACGACAGACTCCCTCATAAGTTTGGAGATCCACCTACACATCCTCTCCTTTGCAAAGTTCAAGACTAGAAATTGCCTCTCATCTTATTGTTGCTGATTCCCTTGTGCAGCCAAGTGGCCCCTGCTGTTGCCATGACATTGAACACCAGGCAGCAGAGAGACGCTGTTCTCTTACTAACAAGTGTGGCAAGTTGATGCACTTCTCAAGGGTCAAAGGAACGCTGCCAAGGCAGCTGACTTTGAGCAGTCTAAAGCTTTTCCTTCTTCAGCAAGGGGGCTCTCTGGACAAGAGGACTAAAGGAAGGTGGAACCAGCAGGGGAGCCAAAGAGAGGATAAAGGAGGAAAGCAGGAACAGCTCTGCATGTCAAGGAGCTGTGCAGGTGAGAGGCCCCAAGACCCCCCTTAGAATCCCCTCTTAAGAACCAGCAGCAAAGTCACCAGAGTTGGGGGAAGGGAAGAAGGGAGGTGTGTGTGTGAGCAGAATCTGCTACCCGAGCCCCTGGTTCCACACCACTGGAACCCAGACCAGAGAGAAAATGAGAAGGGCTTTGAATCCAATGAAAACACAATTTTAAAACACTGTGTCCCAAAGAAAAATAAAAAAAAATAATAAAAAAATAAAACACTGTGTCCCAAGTTCTGAAATTGTATGAAAACTTATAAAATCAAAGTGCATCACTAATATCCCTGCCATCCAGTCCAGAGAGACTTGATAGAATAAAGTGGCAGTGAGGGAAAAAAATGTCTTTCATACTCATAGCTCTATAAGCTGAGACTCCTCAATAAAATGGTTATAAGAATTATTTCAGGAGTGCCTGGGTGGCTCAGTCAGTTAAGTGTCTCACTCTTGATTTTAGTTCAGGTCATGATCTCAGGGTTTTATCAGGCTCTGTGCTGGGTGTGAGGCCTGCTTAAAATTCTCTCTCTTTCTAAAAAAAAAAAAAAAAAAAAAAAAAAAATTATTTCAGGCACTAACAACCGAACTAACTCAACTACATTATGATTTGATGGCTTACATAAAAAGCTGCTGTTTCTACAGGGGAAAATAGAACAAAAGTATAAATGTATCAATTTAATGATGCTGAAAGTCTTTCTAACTCATGAGAATTCATGAATCTGTGACCTGCTAAATGTGGGCTACTGGTACACAGAGGATCATACTAGAGCTCAAAAAAGACTATTCAGTTTTGTTTTACAAAATTAATATTCAATCTATTAAAGTAATAAATTTAAAAATCTAGATCTTCCTAAATCCTTGAGGGTTAGCTTTAAAATCTTATTTTTCTTTTTTTTTTAAGATTTATTTATTTATTTATTTATTTATTTATTTATTTATTTATGATAGATATAGATTGAGAGAGAGGCAGAGACACAGGAGGAGGAAGAAGCAGGCTCCATGCCCGGAGGCTGATATGGGACTCGATCCCCGGGACTCCAGGATCACACCCAGGCCAAAGGCAGGCACTAAACCGCTGAGCCACCCAGGGATCCCCAAATCTTATTTTTCTATTTAAAAATCTAGCCATTGGAAAGATTTAAGGGTGCTTTAATAGTATAACTAAATTCCCTTTAACTCACTAAATTGTATTTATAAATTAATATATTTGCTTTCCATTTTAGGTATTACTGTCATCTGACTTAACAAACAAAAAATTTCTGAATACTAAAATAACTTTAATTACATATGAAACTAAGTATAAAGATATGGAAGCTTTTGAGTTCTCTTACACGTTCTCATTTTGTACATAAATTCAGTAAGTCTTCAACATTAAATCACAATCAGTTAAACACTGTAAATGAAAATCATAAAGCTGAGCTATTAGTAGGATATATTATCTAAAACATCACAAGTACCTAAAGATCAAATATGCACAGATGTCGTAATGCGAACGTATTCATTCTACCTAGATAAAGCCCTACTGGCCTGGGACCAGAGTTACTACCCACGTCAGAACAAGAGACATGGCTCAGATTGTTGAAGATGGGCAGCTGTACACCAAGATCCTGCACAAATCTGGGGTACGCAAAGGGTAGCTTAGTCAAAAAAATTGGGAATGGTAAAAATATCACCAACTGACAGGGAGAAGCTATACGGAAGCTTGCCATCTGCCTGGGGGTGGTTCTGGGTAGAAAAACAAAGTTAATGGATTCCTCAAGCCCGTACTGCATGCTTGTGGGGTTCAAATTTGCAGCACCACATGGTGTAGGAATCTCAAGCCAAGAGTTCCCATAAAAATGGCCAATGTCTGTGGCTCTGGAGAAGCAAATGTGAAACTACACTACAAGGGACTTCTGTGTCTGCCCACAAAGGATTACTGTTATGGAAATTGTCCTCCCACCATAAACAGCTAGAAAACCAGGCAAAATATATGGGGGGGGGGGACTATTTAAAAATAGAGCACTGGCACACAGACATAGAGAACTATGATCCCTGGGAGAAAAAGAAACAGAAATGAGAGACCTGCGATTGCCCTGGACAGCGTGTTCAGACTGCAGTACAACCAGTGGGAACCCAAACAGAACCTGCCAATCTCATTGAGCTAAAGGGACAGAGACTGAAGTTCAAAGAGGCAGAGGCGGCTAGAATTTGTGGGAGCAAGTGCAGGGAGAAGAGAGGAGCTGTGCTGGCTAGCTGCGGGTGGGTCTTGGGCTGAGCGCTGCCCTGGGGATGCAGGGAAAGAGCCCCTGGGAAGCAGGAGGTCAGGTAGTTCTTGGAGCTCACACTGGCGGGGAACAGTTCTCCCTCCCACCAGTCTGCATGAAAAGACTTTGTAATATGTGGAACATCGGGGAGAGTCCTCAGAAGTCTCTCACCTTAGTAGCAGGGCTAAATTAACCCTAGACGAAAAGCGGCTCTTGACCTATCCTAACAAAAGGTCAAAGCAAGCCTCAAAAGGATCAAATATCTGTAATAACCTAAGGGTGTGTCAGAATGAAGCACAGCACACTTTAAATGGATGCATTATCCAACAGTATGAAATTCGTTGTAGAGAATATCCAATAAAAAATCAGCAGGCATGCCAAAAAGCAGGAAAATACAACTAACAACCAGGAGAAAAGTACATTGAAGATAAATAAGTCCTGGGGATGTAATGTACAGCATGGTGACTATAGTTAATAATACTGCATTATATATTTTAGAGGTTGCTCAGAGAGTAGATCTTAAAAGTTATCATCACTCAAAAAAAATTTGTAACAATGCAAAGTGATGGATGCTAACTAAACTTATTGGGGAATCATTTCACAATATATGCATATGTCAAATCATATTGTATACCTAAAACTAATACAATGTTATATGTCAATTATATCTCAATAAAACTGGAAAAAATACTTCATGGAAAAGTATTATGGAAGCATCAAGAATAATTCAATATTAATTTAATATTATTTGAATAGATAATAAAAATTCAAAATAGATTTTAGTAATTTTAACACCATGTAATCCCAACAGCAAAGTAATCATAATTTCAAGAAAAGATGCTTGAGTTGCTTTTGAAATCTGATAACTATGTGTAGATCAGTACTTTGTTGGTGGATTGTAGGTATTTAACTTGAAATGTCATTAGTATCATTTTATAATCATTAATGTAAATTAGCAGATCTCTATAATCTAATAAATTAATACATACTTGGGGGACAGAAAGAGAAGTACATTAATAAAAACAAAACCCAGAAATGACAAAGATAATAGAATTAACAGGCATGGACCTTAAAGCATCTGTTATAACTGTATTCTATATTTTCAAGAAGCCAGAGGAAAGATTGAATATATTAAGTGAAGACATAGAAGAATACCAAGGCATGTCATAATAAATTTGCTGGAGAACATTGATAAAGACAAAAATCTTAAAAGCAGCCAGACAGAAAAAGACATCACGTATAAACATAAGAATAATAAAAGATTTCTCAGGGAAAACTATAGAAGTCAGAGGACTGTGGATCAAAATCTTTAAAGTGCCAAATGGAAAACAAGCAAAAAACTCTCAACCTGGTATTCTCTACCTGTAGAAAATACTATCCAAAAATTATACACTGAGGGGGGCACTTGACGGGATGAGCACTGGGTGCTATTCTGTATGTTGGTAAATTGAACACCAATAAAAAATTAATTTATTAAAAAAATTATATTAAGGCAACATAAATAGCTTACACTACAAACTAAAGCTGAGAGAATACAAGTACGGGGGCGGGGGAGGAGGGGAGCACAGAGGAAGAGGGAGAAGCAGGCTCTCCATTGAGCAGGGAGCTCGATGCGGTACTTGATCCCAGGACCCCAGGATCATGACCTGAGCTGAAGGCAGATGCTCAATAGACCGAGCCACCCAGGTGCCCCAAAGCTGAAAGATCTCCTATCAGCAGAACATTCTCTGCTCTCAGACTTCTGTCAGG